CATCGCCTTTGGCCAAGGGCACTGTGTTGCGAAGCAGTGGCACCCTGATTTTGGCAGTCTTACTGCCTGACAAGAAGATCTCCATGTTGATGCAGTCCGGTTCTTCTGAGCCATTCACAAGGAAAAAGGCCGAGACACAGAACTTCCCCGAGCTGGCATCGTCGTCGGCTTTGGGCAGGGAGACACAGGAGCTCAGCCAAAACTGCCGATCATCCATGTTCCATGCAGTCTCTACCTTCACAGCATTGGCCAAGTCGCCTTGAGAGCTCGATCTCTGCACAATCTTCCACGTGCAGGGTACCAATACAAGTTTGTTCATCTTTTCCTTCACGACCAAGGCTCTGTTTGGCCTCAGCTGCAAGGTGAGCTTGGCCAGCACACCATCAGCATCGTGCTTCTGTTGCAAGATCTCCAGCTCCTTGTGGATCTCCGCCACCATGAGAGCAGCTTGATACTCGATGGACTGAGAGAAGCCGAAAACGGACAAGTCCTGCAGTACCTCTACATCCTTCCTGGGGGTGAACACATGCCACTTTCCGGAAAGGAACTGATCGCTGGAAACTTTCATCAAGCCCTTCTTGTGCAGTTCCTCCAGTTGCACCTGGTTGCCACCGATGTGCTTGATCTGGCACTCCAGTTTGTCGGCTTTGCGACGAACAAAAGCATCGATCACGAAGCCTTGGTCATTCAGCAAATCCTGTGCATTGCGAAGTGACCCATCCGGGTTGAGCTCTCTCATTCGATGACCTGCCTGGCTTGAGGACTTGCCCTCACCAGTTGTCTCTGCAAATGCTGCCCACGGGCTCTGCAACTGCAGAAGCAGGCAAGCATCGTGAGCGATGGCCTGCGCCGTCTTGTAGCTCTTCTCCTGCTCGGGAGAAGGAAGGCCGAGAGAAAGTCGGACCACATTGATGTCGACCACTCCAAGTATGTTCACGAACCTGACATCCTGCAGAATGTCCACACCGGATTTCTTCACCAGCTCCCTCAGTTCGAAGAGCACTTGATTGCCGTCAGTGACTTTCTTGTCGCACTCTCGTGCGAACATTTTCCGGGCCTGGGTCACCGTGATCGTAGACCCCGTCAGTGCCACTT